AGAATTAATGATCAGTTTTTTGAAAAGCTTTTTGATACATCATAACTGTCCTTAATTATAGGGTACAGTGTGACAGTTTGACACATATATACAATGTATAATGATCAAATCAGAGTAATTGGTGTTTCCATCTGCTTAAACGTTTACCATTTCTTTGTGTTTGGACCCTTCAACCTAATCTTTTCTAGTACTTTATAGTACCTATGTCAAGATGCTATGGGGACCAGTGCTGTGGTGTAGCGGGTAAAGCCGCTGCCTGCAGTGCTGGCACCCCGTGTGGGTACCAGTTCTAGTCCTGGCTGCTCCACTTCTGATCCAGATCTCTGGTATGGCCTGGGAAAGCAGAAGAAGATGGCCCAAGTCCTTGGGCCTTTGCACCCATGTGGAAAGACCCAGAAGAAGCTCCTGGCTCCTGGCTTCAGATTGGCACAGCTCCGGCCATGGCGGCTAATTGGGGAGTGAACCAGCAGATGGAAGACCTCTCTGTCTCTGTCTGTCTATCTCTCTCTCTCTCTCTCTCTCTCTCTCTCTCTCTCTGTGCCTCTGCCTCTTTTTAACTCTCCTTTCAAATAAATAAATAAATCTTAAAAGAAAATGATGCTGTGAACTAGAGTCACTTGGCCATGTGCCTCCTAACTATACTTTGGTAGCTGCTATCCAGACTCCCTGCATTGCCCCTCGCTGCCCTTCCTAGACTCTAGTGAGCTCCTCTCCACTTTCTTCTATGAGATCAATATTCTTGGCTTCTACATCTGAGTGAGAACAGGTGGTAACCGCCGTTTGTGACTGGCTTATTTCATGTAGCGTGATGTCCTCCGATTCCATCCTGGCCTTTGCAATGGCTGAGTAACATTCCATTGTGAGTATGTTACCACATTTCCTTGGTGGTGAGCCCTTAGAGATAGAACCAAGACTAAACAACTGCCAAGATGATGCTTATGGGAAGCCTGGAAATGCTATAAACCTTGACAAATTAAAAGTAAGAATGAAACCAATAAAAATGGGAAGGAAAAGGGGAAGAGCTACGAGTGTTAATTTCTTTTTACTGTCACACCATCTATCGCTGAAAAATTGAGTTCAAAGGAAGCCTAATGATAGTAACCTCTACTGTTTCCTACCATTATTCTTGAAGTCAGGACATTGATTGGTACATTTATCACTGTATCTACCAATGGAGAGAAAAATCCAGTGAAGTTCAGCAATTCTTTCAGTTCTACTTTTTTTTCTTCTGCTAAAGAAAACTAAAGATTTAGTCTCATTTGACTATCATATACATTTTTCATGAATTTTCGGTGGTATTTTTGTTTTTACTTTGAGAGGCAGAGAGACAGACAGATGAACTCCCATCATTAATTTACTCAACAAATGCCAGCCATGGCTGAGGCTGAGCCAGGCCAAAGTCAGGAGTGGGAACCCGGGCCAGGTCTCTCTCTTGGGTGGCAGGCACCCAACCACTTGAGCCACCAGCTGCTGCCTCCGAGGATCCGTAATAGCAGGAAGCTGGACTTGGAAGCCAGAGGCAGGACTTGAACCCAGGCACTCTGATAAAATTTGCATATTTCACGGCAGTGGTGAGCCTGGGGGAGGGGAGTGAGCCCAGGAAACACCTGTAGGGGAGTGGAAAAGCAGAACAGGAAAGAGAAGGAAGTAAATACTAGCGTGTTACAAAAGCAGGTGCCCACTGTGGACAGCTGGGCTCAGCACCACCGGGGAGCTCGGGGAGACTGTCAGAGCTATCCCACCTGAAGGCCAGGGACACTGGGACATTGACCTATCAACTGGAGGGCTCTCCTGGACACTTTACTCCAGGCCAGTGTGTGTGTGTTGATCCCCCTCCAGCAGCCAGAGACTCGCAGGAAAGGGCCTGTGGTGAGGCTATGGGAAGTCACTGGGCTTGACTGGATAGGAAATGCCAGCAGGGCAAGGCACCAGCACCATCAGGTGAAACTCTAGGCTTAAGAAGCCCATTTAAGGAACCAGTGTTGTGCAGTAGGTTAACCTGCTGCCTGCAATGCTGATATGCCATTTGGGCGCTGGTTTGAGTCCCAGCTGCTCCACTTCCAATCCAGCTCCCTGCTAATGCACCTGGGAAAGTAGCATAAGATGGCCCACGTATTTGGGCCCCTGCCACCCACAGGGGAGACCATGATGGAGTTCCAGGCTCCTGACTTCAGCCTGGCCCACACCCATTGTGGTCACTGCAGGAGTGAACCAGCAGATGGAAGATCTCTGTCTCTCTTCTCTCTGCAACTCTGCCTTTCAAATAAATAAAATCTTTTGTTTAAAGCCTGTGGATTCAATTCATCTCAAATAAATTGTGCTAAATCAAAGAAGTCAGTCTTAGAAGGCTCCATGCTGTGTTCTTCTACTGTTACGGCTTTCTGGAAAAGTCTAAACCCGGAGGACAGAAACAGCATTGTGGTTTTCAAGCGTTGGGAGGGAGCGATAACAGAGAGGCATGAGGGGAATTCTTTAGGGTTACGGCAATATCCTACATCTTGGTTGGGGTGGTGCATTTGTTCAAATTCGTAGGACTGCACCTGGAAAAAGGTTTTACTGTATGTATGTCCCATCTCAAAAGCCTGATTGCAATGTTTTTACAAATATGTCTGCATTATTTGCAATTGCAACAAAGTTTAATGTTTCCCTTGAGGACTTCACACTTTCAACAAATGGAGGGAGGCAGAAGAGATGTTCTCAGGTCACAAGAGGTGCCGTGGCCTCCTGATTCTGCTCTCACTGTCTCTGGCTTGCCAGCTTTTGGGACAGCTAGATGCCACACCATGGGAAGCCGTGTGGACAGGCCCACATGGTGAGGAGCTGAGGCCGCTGGCCAAGAGCCATGGCAGCTGCCATCTTGGAAGTGGATCCTCCAGCCTGGTGCATCCATCAGTGACTGATGCTTGGCCGGCAGTTATAATCTCCTGAGAGATCCTGGGACAGAACCAGCCAGCTGAGCAATTCTGTTTCCTAACCCTCGGGAACAATGTGAATTAAGATTGTGGTTTGTTGTGTAAAGCTGCAACTTATAGGGCTACTATGTTATATGGCCACCAATCTCATATGAGGGTTCTTCAAAAAGTTTGTGGAAAAATGGAATTAAAAGATAATGTTAGGGGCCAGTGCAATGGTTCAGTGGGTTAAAGCCCTGGCATGAAGCACTGGCATCCTATATGGGGGCCGGTTTGAGTCCCGGCTGCTCCACTTCCAATCCAGCTCTCTGCTACAGCCTGAGAAAGCGGTGGAAGATGGCCCAAGTCCTTGGGCCCCTGCACCTATGTGGGAGACCCAGAAGAAGCTCCTGGCTCCAGGCTTTGACCTGGCCCAGCCCTGATTGTTGAGGCCATTGGGGAGTGAACCAGCAGATGGAAGACCTCTCTTTCTCTCTCTCTCTTTCTCTAACTCTCTCTGTAACTCTGCATTTCAAATAAAAAAAAAAAAAAAAAAAAAAGATGGCCGGCGCCGCGGCTCAATAGGATAATCCTCTGCCTGCAGCGCCGGCACCCCGAGGTTCTAGTCCCGGTTGGGGCGCCGGATACTGTCCCGGTTGCCCCTCTTCCAGTCCAGCTCTCTGCTGTGGCCCGGGAAGGCAGTGGAGGATGGCCCAAGTCCTTGGGCCCTGCACCCGCGTGGGAGACCAGGAGAAGCACCTGGCTCCTGCCTTTGGATCAGCGCGGTGTGCCGGCCGCAGCGGCCACTGGGGGATGAACCAATGGAAAAGGAAGACCTTTATCTCTGTCTTTCTCTCTCACTGTCCACTCTGCCTGTAAAAAACAAAAACAAAAAAAAAAACCCTGTTATTTTTGTGCCCCCAGATTCTTTTTTTTTTTTTTTTTTTGAGATTTATTTATTTGAAAGTCAGAGTTACACAGAGAGAAGAGAGGCAGAGAGAGAGGTCTTCCATCCGATGGTTCACTCCCCAGATGGCCGCAACGGCTGGAGCTGTGCCAATCTGAAGCTGGGAGCCAGGAGCTTCTTCCGGGTCTCCTACACGGGTGCAGGGGCCCAAGGACTTGGGCCATCTTTTACTGGTTTCCCAGGCCATAGCAGAGAGCTGGGCCGGAAATGGAGCAGCCAGGTCTTGAACCGGGCATTAACCCGCTGTGCAACAGCACCAGTCCCGCCCTCTGATTCTGAAACCCATACAGAGACTGTTCAGAAAGTCCACAAAGAGATGAGCATTTGGCCTCACAGTTAAGACTAATTGGATATCCACCTCCCATTTTGGAGTGCCTGAGTTCAAGACCTGCCTCCGGCTCCCAATTCTAACTTTCTGCTAGTGCACACCCTGGGAGGCAAAAGGTGGTTGGGTCCCTGCCACTCACGTGGGAGGCCTGGATGGAGTTCACAGCTCCTGTCTTTGCTCTCGTGCAGCCTCAGCCATTGCAGGCATTTGAGGCGTGAACCAACAACGACAGATCTGTCTCTCTGCCTCTGGAAAAAAAATTATGAAAAATATGTATAATGAAAACCCTGCATGGATTTCTAATTTTCTTTCAAGTTCCATGTATACTTTTTCTCATAAAATGCATTTTTCATGAACTATTTGAAGACCATGTGTAAGCACGCATTTCAATTTTATTTTTTGCTCTAAAATAGTTACCTTTTAATTCCATTTTCCACAAACTTTTTTTTTTTTTTTTTGACAGGCAGAATGGACAGTGAGAGAGAGAGACAGAGAGAAAGGTCTTCCTTTGCCGTTGGTTCACCCTCCAATGGCCGCCGCAGCCCGCGTGCTGTGGCCGGTGCACCATGCTGATCTGAAGGCAGGAGCCAGGTGCTTATCCTGGTCTCCCATGGGGTGCAGGGCCCAAGCACTTGGGCCATCCTCCACTGCACTCCCTGGCCACAGCAGAGAGCTGGCCTGGAAGAGGGGCAACCGGGACAGAATCTGGTGCTCCGACCGGGACTAGAACCTGGTGTGCCGGCGCCGCACAAGGTGGAGGATTAGCCTATTGAGCCGCAGCGCCGGCCTCCACAAACTTTTCAAACTATGTGTGTTCACTGACTTAAAATTTAATTCTCAGTTTCAAATAAAATCATCTGTTCTTTTACATAAAGTGTGCTGAGAGACCTTTGGCATGGTACGCATCTAAAGTGGATGACTGTGGCTTCTGGGCGGTGGGTTTTGGGGATAATTTTTCTTGTGTGTGTCCTTGCTATCCCTGAACTGCTTTTTATAATGTGTATCACTAAAGTTCAAAACATAAATAATGGAGCCAGCATTGTGGCCAAACGGGTTAAGCTGCTGCCTGCAATGGCAGATCCCATATTGGAACACTGGTTCAAGTCCCAGCTGCCCTACTTCTGATCCAGCTCCCTGCTAATGTGCTTGTGTAAGCAGCAGTGGATGGCCCAAGGGTGTGGACCCCTGCCACCCATGTGGGAGACCCAGATAGAGTTCCTGGCTCCTGGCTTCCAACTGGCCCACCCCTGACTACTGTGGACATTGAGGGAGTAAACTAGCAGATGGAAGAGTTCTGTCTCTCTGTCTGTCTCTCTGTCTCTCTCTCTCCCTCCCTGTTCCTTTCAAATAAATAAAACAAATAATAATAAAAAAAACCACATCCAAAACCCCATAAACCCACACACACACAAAAAAAAGCCTTGGAGCCTGGCGTAGGCGGAGGAGGTGTTATTCAACCAGGGCCGAGCCAGGTGTCTACAGGAAGCAGGTGCACCACTCCTTGAGACATTTGGAGCTCCTCTTGGCCTCACACTCGGTGGCACCACAACAACAAATGATCCAGTTCTGAAACTCAGTTTCGTTCTTGTGCATCAGAAGGAACTGTCCCAACAGGATGTAGGCCTGGGGGAGGGGACAGGGCAGGGAGGAAGAGAGGAAAGGTTATAACAACCTGGCCGGACATGCTCTTCTTCCCTCACCCACCAGGAGCAAAATCACCAGGACTCCCGGGTCCCATTCGAGGGAGATTTGCACTCTCTGCGGCCCTGAGGGGGGCCGTGTGGATTGGGGGGCAGAGTCCTGTAGAAGCAAGGTCACATCCCCCGGGACTGGTTGTGGGGGTCGTCTAGCTTGGAATGATGAGAATCTGTGTTCCCCAAACTGTGCTGACCACAGGAACGCCCTGGGGTCTCCTTCAAAGGTAGGTTCTGACTCAGAAGGCCTCAAGCTGGGGTGGGCGTCAGCGTTTCTGCCCCGTTCCCAGCTGAGGCAAGTCCAGGGACCACATCTTGAGTGGCAGGGGGCGGAGCGTGCCTCCGAGGCTCCCTTCCCACCTCTGATCCAGGAGTTCTGTCTCTGAAACACACAGGGCTCAGAGTTGGACATGCTGTCACCCCACGCTTCCTCCATGGCCTGGGTAGTGCATGTTTCAACCAACCTTCGCACTGTTTGGATAAGTCTGTGCTGTGGCACTCTGTCCTGCAAGTGGCAGTGTCACCCCTGGCCAACTCTTCCCACGCACCCAGCCACCAGTGACGATCGAAACCACCTCCACACGTTGGCCAAATGTCCCCTTGGAGGCAAATTCTCCCTCGCCGGAGGGCCACTGCACGCAGGGCTGCCGGATGAAGGGCATCTTTGGCGTTGGTGTGTCCTTGGAGACCACCTGGGGCATCTCAGGCTATGCAGCCACCTGATGTCAGACCCAGCAGAACCTGGGTCTCAGCGGCTGCACCTGTTTTCTGCACCTCAGGCAACCGGCCCTGCAGATCGAATTAAGGAAATCCAACAGGAAAGCACTCAGAAGATGCAAATGCCACTTTGTCCAGGGAGATGTAGCCCTGTGGGAGGGGCACGGCAGGTCTAAAGCACGCTAAACTCGTGCTGAGATCTGCGGATGAAAACAGATCCAATAAACAGCGCGACGCCCCGACTCAGGCTCCTGGGGACATTGTCTGGTTTTCTAAGGACCTGCATCCACAGCTTTTCATTTCTCTTTTCCCGTTTGATCCATTGTGGATGAAGGACAAGAACCACGGGAAGAAAGGGAACAGCTGAGACCCTGCGGCCATAAACTGGCTAAGCCGCTAGTGGTGGCGGCTGGAGATTCCAGGTCACATCCAGGGCCGTCTCTCCAACGAGAAGCAGCACCCCCCCAGCCCCCACCCCATGCCGCCAAGCTCTGGGCCCTTTCCAGGAAACTTGCTACTGTCTGTTTACTTTCAGTTGCATAAAACAAAGCAAACTTTATCTTAACCAGAGGGAACATTTTTTTTTTTCAAGAGAAATCAAATAGAGGCTGAATCCCAGTCACAAAAGGTAGCAAGCATTGGAGCTAGAGGTTTTATTTTTGGTCATGGTCCAGTTGTTGAAAACAGAAAAGAGCCAGGATTCATGGGGATTTTAAACTGTTACTTTAATCACCTTAAAAAACAAACAAACAAACAGATGCAATACAGAGATGTTTCATGTGATCTCATTTCGCTTTCCCATTGGTGGATTGCATGGAGGTGTTTTTAAACCAAATTTATTTTTCAAAGATTTATTTATTTTATTTGAAAGTCAGAGTTACACAGAGAGAGGAGAGGCAGAGAGACAGAGAGAGAGAAAGGTCTTCCATCTGCTGGTTCACTCCCCAATTGGTCACAATGGTCGGAGCTGAGCTGATCCAAAGCCAGGAGCCAGGTGCTTCCTCCAGGTCTCCCTCGTGGGTGCAGGGGCCAAAGGACTTGGGCCATCTTCTACTGCTTTCCCAGAACATAGCAGAGAGCTGGATTGGAAGTGGAGCAGCCGGGACTTGAACCAGCTCCCATATGGGACGCTGGCACCACGGGTGGCGTCTTTACACACTACGCCACAGCGCCAGCCCCTAAACCAAAATTTTTAACAAAGCACATGCTGGGGTTAATAGAACAGGATCAAGAGGCGTGGAGCTTCATCCAAGGACAGAGAACATTAAGGAGAATCATAACAATTATCATTATTACTTAATACAGGTTGAGCATTCCTGTTCTAAAAATCCCAGATACTGCAAATTACAAAACTTCTTGAGCATAGACACGGTACCACCAGTGGAAAATTCCACACCATGCAATCTCCTCTCATGAACAAAATTATTAGAAACACTGTGTACAATGACATGCTGGGTGTGTAAGCTGCATAGGACATAAAGCAATTTGGCATTTAGACTGGGGTCCCCTAGGATGTCTCATCATGTACATGCAAATATCCCCAAGTCCCCACATTCTGAATGCAATCAGAAACGCTCCTGGTCCCAGGCATTGCGATACGCTCTAGTGCCCTGGGTGCTCTCCAGCACTGTTGTGGGCAGGTTCCGCTGGAGACACCAAGCGTGATCCTCACACCCACAGGCAGACGCAAACCCCTGCTTCCCTCTGCCCTGCCCTGGCACAGCCCAGACACCTGCAGTCTGGCCCGGAGGCTCAGGCATACCTCTACCCATTTCTGCACCCTACTATTGGCATCCGCTGGCTTGGCCATCAGAGCCTCCGTGTCCCACCAGGCCCCACAGCCAGGAAGCCTGGGAATGGTGTGGCACACAGGAGCCAGGCAAACTTTCCAGGAAAAGCCACAGGAAGAAGGGCCTCGTCTTGTAGCCTCTGGAGCCGAGACGCAACCTGACGTTCCCTCCTCTGCTTTCTCTCTGGCTTCACCCTGCATCTCTCAAAGGTGAGGAGACAAAGTTGGTGCCTTCTGCATTCAATCCTGAAGACTTCACTCTGCTCTCCAGGGAAGCTCCCGGTGCCTGTTGCTGCCCTGCCGGAGGCTCGCATGGTTTTCTGCGCTCCCCATAGCCTGCCCCTCTCCCTCTTTGGGCCACAGCTCTCAGAAACCCAGCTGCAGGGAGCGTGATGTAGAAACACAGAGTCACTGAGCAGGATACATCCCTGCCCTCTCTCTGCCCTGGACAGCGGCCGTGACAAACCAGGCGCCATGGTCCTTCCTGCGGTAGCAAGATGGGAGTACAAGGGCAGACCGCCCTCAACCCCAAGTTCAAACGGGGAGACTCAGCCCCAAGTTCAAACGGGGAGACTCAGCCCGGGGCTGGGCCTTCCAGCTGGCCAGACGCACTTCCTGCTGGACAGCAGCAGTCTGAATCTGCCCCCGTGGGGGATCCACGTTCCCAACAGCGCTCAGCAGAGCGCTCACCTCGGTTCAGCGCCGTGCGGCCGCCATCCTCAAAGTCTCAGCGCATCTGAACAAAAGACCTCACGTTGCATTTTGCAACTGGGCCCTACCAGTTAGGCAGCTGGCCCCAGTCCACCTTCAAAATGCTCAGCCTTCACCGTGACAGCTGACCTTTCAGAGACCAGCTCTGTCTTGGCCTCTCTTCTCAAGCTTCTGACACGTGCCCTGCCCGAGACCCCACGCCCCCGGCACCTGTACTGGCTGTATCTCACACCACCACATGGCCCCATGGTACAACGACACAACTTTCTGTGCTGTAGCTAAACAGACGTTGTCTCCCCAGTCTTCGTGTTCCTGAGAACCCATGGGATCCAGGCAAATCCAGCATCTCCCGGTCAGTTCAGGCTTAATACTCTGACATTCCTGTGAATGCTCAATCCAGTGTGAGTCTTGCACCCTTTTTCTTTCTCCTGGGACCTACTTATATGAAAGGAAAACAAAAAACAAAAACAGGGGCCAGCGCTATGGCTCAGTGGGTTAAAGCTCCAGTCTGCAGTGCTGGCATCCCATATGGGTGCTGGTTCAAGTCCAGGCTGCTCCACTTCTGATCCAGCTCTCTGCTATGGCCTGGGAAAGCAGTGGAAGATGGCCCAAGTCCCCATGGGAGACTCGGAGGAAGCTTTGGATCTGCACCACTCTGGCCATTGTGGTCAATTGGGGAGTGAACCAGTGGATGGAAGACCTCTCTCTCTCTCTCTCTCTCTCTGTGACTCTGCCTTTCAAATAAATAAATAAGTAAATCTTTAAAAAAAAAAAAAAAAAGGAAGAGAAAGAAAAAAAAGAAAAAACAAAACAAGGGACCGGCACTGTTGCGTAGTGGACAAAGCCACTGCCTGCAGTGCCTGCATTCCATATGGGCACTGGTTTAAGTCCTGGCTGCTCCACTTCTGATCCAGCTCTCTGCTATGGTCTGAGAAAGCAGTAGAAGATGGCCCAAGTCCTGGGGCCCCTGCATCCACATGAGAGACCTGGAAGGAGCTCCTGGCTCCTGGCTTTGGATCGGCGCAGCTCCAGCTGTTGCGGTCATTTGGGGAATGAACCAGCGGATGGAAGACCTTTCTCCCCGTGCTGCTGGAGACCTGTGTCCACAGTGTGGACACAATTGTGTCCATTCACTCGTTGTCTGGAAATAACCCCTGGCTGGGGTTTTCATGGGAAGGGAAGGATCTGGAGAGGAAACCACAGGCAAGCCATGCCTCTGTGCCAGGGGTGTGGGTGCTCAGACCAGGCGTGGGAAAGCAGAGTCCACAGTCACGACAAGGGCTCCCCCTGAAAGCTCAAGGTGCTCAAAAATAGAGGCGATTGGGTGAGGTGGGCAGAAGGAGGGCTTCCCAGCCGGCGCCGTGGCTCACTAAGCTAATCCTCCTCCTATGGCGTCGGCACTCCGGGTTCTAGTCCCGGTTGGGGTGCCGGATTCTGTCCCAGTTGCTCCTCTTCCTGTCCAGCTCTCTGCTGTGGCCCGGGGAAGGCAGTGGAAGATGGCCCAAGTATTTGGGCCCTGCACCCACATAGGTAGACCAGGAGGAAGCACCTGGCTCCTGGCTTCGGATCGGCGCAGTGTGAACCAACGGAAGGAAGACCTTTCTCTCTGTCTCTCTCTCTCTCTCACTCTGCCTGTCAAAAAAAAAAAAAAGAGAAAGAAAAAAGAAAGAAGGAGGGCTTCCCAGAGGAAGGGGACCATTAATAGGGCCTGAAGTGGACCACATTCCCTTTTGAGGAGGGTGCCAGGTGGGAGGGGGGTGGTTCCCATATGTGCTTGTGGCTCGTGGGCGGGGAGAGGGAGGGAGGAGGCAGGGAATATAAAACAGAGCCAAATGGGCGGTGTTAAGTCACCACCTGGGATGCTAGCACCCCAAATCAGAGAACCTAGGTTCCTTTACTGGCCCCGCTTCCCACCCCAGCTTCCTGCTAGGGCACCTGGAGAGGCAGCTCTTCAAGTACTGGGGTCTCTGCCACCCACGTGGGAGACCGGGATTGAGTTCTAGGATCCTTGGCTTCGTTTTGAGTGAACCAGCAGATGGGAGTCCTATCTCTCAAATAAGTACAATATTAAAAAAAAAAAAAACCTTAAAAAATATTAAACGGAGCTAAAGCCAGGCCATGGCCAGCCTCGACTCCGTGTGTGCACAAAGCTTTCTCCCATTTCCATAATTCCGGTCTCTCCTGCAGCCCTTCCTCCATTATTTCTAGGCCAACACCATTCAGTAGGTATATACAAGGTGAGCCAGCCACATCTGTCATTTCTCACTTTCTAGTACCCACGGGAACAAGCAGGAGGGAATCAGGCAAAATGAATATTCTAACAATTGATTTCATTCTTATTGGCTCCGCTGTTTCCGAAACAGCACCACTCTGAGACATAACCAATGAGAACGCGATTGCTGACCCACTCCATGTCCTTTCGCGTGGCGGGGCACAAGGTCATGACATCACAGCGTGTGTTTTCTGTGTCTGGCACACGACAGTTCAGTCATGTCCTCGGCAGGCTCACGTGGCTGGTGGCCACCGTGTTGTGTGTGGATCCTCAGACCAAAGCGGCCTGCCTCTGGGGGGGCGGGGGGAGCAGACACAAAATAACCCAGACAGAACACAGTCACAGCTTGGGCTTTTGAGCTCCTGAAGAGAATCCATCATCGCAGAAATCAATGGTTTTGAGAGTCACGACTCAAACCGCGAGCTGGAAACCCAGTTGTGCTATCGGCCAGAGATCTGGAGACCGGGGCAGGATGTGAGGACAGCTCCTCCGGCCCCCCGCCCTGGTGTGGAAGACAAAGACCTGCGCAGAGGCAGGGGTGGAAGTGAAGGTTTGAGAGGCAGGGGCTGGTGGGAGAGCTGGGGAACGTGCCATGCAGGCCATAGCCTTCCGAGGGGGCAACACAGCCAGGTAACTCAGGTGGGCATCCAGGGCAGGCGGCTGGTGGCGCCTCTGCCCCTGTGCGTCCAGCGTCCTGGTGACTCTGGAGAGAGCTGGTGGCTGAGAGAGGAGCCCAGGCAAATTGGTTTGGGGGCAGCGCAGGGGTCTTTGTGCCAGCGCATCCTCTGAAAGGGAGCAGAGAGAGCCCGGAAAGGCAGGGTTCAGCGGGCATGGCCAACAAGGGAGCTGCAGTGGGGTTGGCTCACAACAAAGAAATTGAGGCCGAGCCCCAGGGTGGGGAGGGGTGGGCGGCAGCGGGGGCCAGCCAGTCCTCGGCAGAGGCCCCAAAATACAGCCCTTCCCTGTGCTCAGGTCCCCTCCAACCCAGGCAAGGTCTCAAAATACAGGAGCTGGCATTTTCTTTTATTCTTCCTCTATTTGAAAGACAGAGAAAGATCTTGCACATTTGTTTGTTCACCCTCCATTACGCGAACTGTATAACTCTCACTTTCAAATAATAATTAAATCTTTAATGCCCATTGCCACTGTATAGTTACCACAATAGAAAAATAAAAGAAACAATTATTTATTTAAAAAAAATTTAAAAAGTATTTGAGAGGGAGAGATTAAGACAGAGAGAGAGCATACCCATGTGCTGGTTCACTCTCCAAATGCTCACAGTGGCCAGGGTTAGGCCAGGCTGAAGCCAGGAAGTAGAAACTTAGTCCAGGTCTCTCCTGTGGGCAGCAGGGATCCAGTTACTTGAACCATCACCACCGCCTCTACCAGGGTCTGAATAAGCAGGAAGCTGGAAGTAGGAGCCAGAGCTGGGTATTGAACGTAGACACTCTGATGTAGGACCCAGGTGCCCCAGCAGGCAGCTGAACTGCCAGGCCAAACCTCTGCTCCCCTAGCAGCTTTTTAATAGTCCCATCCAGACAAATAATTAGTGACCAGGTCACTGGCACATCGTCCCTGGAAGGAATTAGTGTTCTTGTAAGAGCAGGTTATGATAAAAAGAGCAAGACTTGGGGGCAGGTCTTGTGGCGCAGTTGCTTAAATGACCAGCTGCAATGCCAGCATCCCATATATCAGAGCCTCAGTTCCAGTCCCGGCCACTCCACTTCTGATCCAACTTCCTGCCAATGCACCTGGGAAGGCAGCAGAAAATGACTCAAGTGCTTGGGCCCCTGCCACCAACGTGGGAGACCGAGATGGGGTTCCAGGCTCCTGGCTTCAGTCTGGCCATTGTGGGCATTTGGGGAGTGAACCAGCAGATGGAAGATACCCCCCAACCCCCTCTGTCTCTCCCTCTCTGTCACTTTGCCTTTAAAAGAAGCAAACTGAATCTTTGGAAAAAAGGGTGGGGGGCAAGATTGGCCTCTCCTTGCTCTCTGGCTTCTGGTCCCATCACATGATCTCCCCTCTCGCAGGCACTCCTGCCTTAATACCATCCGCTGGGATGTGATACAGCCAAGGGAGCCCTCACCAGTGCCAGTGCCAGTGCCAGTGCCATGTTGCTTGGACTTTCAGCTTCTAAGAATGCAGAGCTGAATAAACCTCTCTTCTGTGTAAGTACTCAGCACCAAGTACTCCTGATAGCAACGGAAGATGGACTAGCACTATCAGGTTCCACTAGAAATTCTGGAGGCTGTCCATGGGTGGGGAATGACCTCTTGGAATGACTCACATGCCCTGACTCTGGTGTAGACCCATGGCCAGGCTGGTGCCCTGACTGGGGGCAGGTGAGACTCCACGGGTGCCTTCCTGGAGGTGGGGCGTGCACCTGGCTCATCCAACAGCTCTGCTCCACGCTCCGGAGCCTGGTCCACTTCTGTGTGACCCCGAGCCATTGAATAACCAGTGAGTCTTGCCCAGCCCAGCTGCTCTGAGCTGAAGCAATTCTATCTGCCCATCATACACAAGCCCTTGAGGCTGCCCGAGCACGTGGGCTCAGTAATACTGAAGCACGTGGCACCCTGCCAAGTGGAGCTTTGCTCTCTGCTGGCCCCTTACAGGGACACAAGGCAGGAACTGCCATCTGGCAGGACCGGGGAGAGAGAAGTTGGGGAGAGAGGTTGGAAAAGTTGAAAAACAAACAAACAAAAAACCAAATTACCTTGCTGAAACCTTTGGCGACTAGATTGATGGCAAGCTCCCGGCTAATCCCGTCTATACAGCCAACATCCTTTTCTCCAATGGGTTCAGAGAGGAAGGCTCTGAGCTTGGGGGACATGTGAGCCATCTCCTGCAACAGCAATGGGAGGGGAGCGGAAGAGATTAGCAGGTGCCTGACCGTTTACAGTGCGTGTGGGCACTGGGGAATTCCCTCAGCCAGCCAAGGGACCGGGGACAACAGATGGTAGATTCCCTTCCACCATGCAGCGTTCGCTCGGGACTTTTAAAGCAGCTGCCGCGCCTGCACTGCAGGCCTTTGCACACCCATTCCCACCTGGCTGGGGGAAGAGAAGGGTAATGTTGACCGCAGATGAGCCCCATAAATCCACTGGCCCAGGGTGTGCTTGATGATAAGAGCTGCAACGGGCTTCTTGCCAAGTCTTCCCACTACACGCTTAAAGACACAGCTTGCGGGCCCAGTGATGTGGCATAGCAGGTTAAACTCCCTCTTGGAACACCGGCTCCCCACATCAGAGTGCCAGTTTGAGTCCTGGATGCTCCACTTCCCATCCGGTTCCCTGCTAATGCATCTGGGAAGGATGGCCCAGGTACTTGGGCCCCTGCCACCCAGGATGGAGTTCTGGGCTCCTGGTTTCAGCCTGGCCTAGTTCTGCCATTGTGGCGATTTGGGGAGTGAAGTGTCAGATGGAAGATCTCTCTGTCTCGCCCTCTCTCTGTCACCCTGCCTTTCCAATAAATACATAAATCTTTAAAAAGAAAGAAAGACACAGTTTGCATCTTAGCAAATTAACCTACCCTCCTCTCTTAGCCACCTGACACTTGTGCCATACTTTTTTTTTTTTTTTTTTTTTGACTTGTGGAGTTAGACAGTGAGAGAGAGACAGAGAGAGTTACACAGTGAGAGAGACAGCGAGAAAGGTTTTCCTTCCGTTGTTTCACCCCCCAAATGGCTGCTATAGCCGGTGCGCTGCGCCGATCCAAAGCCAGGAGCCAGGTGCTTCCTCCTGGTCTCCCATGCAGGTGCAGGGCCCAAGCACTTGGGCCATCCTCCACTGCCTTCCTGGGCCACAGCAGAGAGCTGGCCTGGAAGAGGAGCAACCGGGACAGAATCTGGCACCCTGACCGGGACTAGAACCCAGTGTGCCGGCGCCACAGGCGGAGGATTAGCCAAGTGAGCCGCGGCACCAGCCCATACTTTTATTTTAAATAGTTGCCATGTTCTGTAACAGTTGGATGTCTGGTTGCAAGTAAGAGAAAACTCTTTAAACCAGCTCTGATATTAGGAAAGGCATTATATAACTCAAAAGTCCAGGGGAGAGGGTGGGTATGGTATCACCCAGGTCCAGCTCCAGGTGTCTGGGATTCTCAGTTCCCCTCATGGTGATAGAATAGCTGCTCCTGCACTCCTACGCTCCAACAACTGCACCCAGAAAGAAGGAAAAGGGAGAGCTCTGAGCAGATGCCTCATCTGGTTTCTAAGATGGAAGCGCCCACTTGCTAGCTCGCTGTCCCTGACGCTCTTGAATTAAAGAACAACACCCATTTCCAGGAGTTTTTTGAAGTCCTCTGATATTCCCAGGAGACAGTGACACCCTCAAGGGCCACTTTTGCCCTCCAGCCCAGGCCCAGTGCCCCATGAAGTGCCGATGACATCAATGAATGGATGCGCTCCCTGCCTCCCTTGCACAGCACCTGCCCCCTCTCCTGTCCCGGCCACCCCTACCCTCCTCCAGACCTGTGCTTGCAGGCCTGAGCTCCTCTCGTGAGTCTTCTTGCACAGGGGATGATTGGTCACGCTCCAGAGGAAGGAAGTCTGCGAGCAAAGATGGACGCGAAGGCACGGAGTTGAGCAGTCAGGGGTCTCTTAAGGCAAGGGGGCTTCATGTGTTCTGTGATTCTAGGAGGGAAACAAGACGAGAGAACTTGTCCATGTCCCTGACTCTGGGGGCTCCAATACACAAGGGGGTATGAGCTGTGATATGTGGGACATCCGTCTCTGAGTTCAGTTTGAAGACACGTTTCCTAAACACAAAACAGTGTTTAATGCCAGTGCTAACTGCGGGACTTCTCAATGCCCGTGGCCTTCTGGGATGACCACCGGGACCCTGGTAAAAGTCCAGGACTCCTGAGCAAGGAATCACCCAGCGATCCCACAGCCCACACCAAGCTCTGCTGAGGGAAAATTCCACTTGCTCCCCTTGGTGGCCACCTGTTAAGTTAAACCTCTCTGCCTATGAAACCTTCTGAGAAAAAAAAAAATGGAAAATACAACATTGTTATCAGGGCGCCAGCAGCATCAAAGGCGGGACCTGACTGGTAGCACCTTGTGTGTGTGTGTGTGTGTGTGTGTGTGTGCTTTTTCTCACACATCTCATCCAACTGGGATCCTTGAAACACCTGGGGTGGGGGTGGGGGTTGGGCCAGTCAGGCAGTGATTTCTTACGTGGCTAAGGCCCTGCGGCAGCAGCAGCCACCAGTATAAGAAGGCTGTGCCTTTCTCGGGATAAGCTGGGCTGCAACAGTGGCTCCCAGCTCGGGGCAATGAGGCTCCCCAGGGAAGCTTTGGCAATGTCTGGAGACAGTTGTCCCAGCTTGAGCGGAGGGACGGTGCACTGGCATTTCGAGGCTGCTGAATATCCCACAATGCACAGGATGGCCCCCACAACCGAGAACTGGCCAGCAAGTTCTAGAAAATCCTGACTCACAGCCGGCGCCGCGGCTCACTAGGCTAATCCTCTGATGTGGTGCCGGCACCCCAGGTTCTAGTCCCGGTTGGGGCGCTGGATTCTGTCCCGGTTGCTCCTCTTCCAGTCCAGCTCTCTGCCGTGGCCCGGGAAGGCAGTGGAGGATGGCCCAGGTCCTTGGTCCGTGCACCCGTATGGGAGACCAGGAGGAAGCACCCGGCTCCTGGCTTTGGATCGGCGCAGTGCCCCGGCCATAGCAACCACTTGGGGGGTAAACCAACAGAAAAAGGAAGACCTTTCTCTCTGTCTCTCTCTCTAACTCTGCCTGTCCGGCGAGTTATTTCAATACAAATAACGAAAAGAAAAGAAAAGAAAAGAAAATCCTGACTCACTTGGTCAAACAACACAGCTAACCTGCTCATCTCACCTAGCAGAAGCTTTGCAATGAGAAGGACTCGGGATTTTGGGGCTCTGTGTTATCAAGGACGAGGCTGGCTACCCCCAAGGTCCCACGATACCTGCACAATTGGCTTCGATCCTATTCTGACACGAGAGTGTCCCGAGGAAGAGAAGTCATTTCTTCGTGGGCGTCCTTAAGAAGCAAGATGCCTTGCAAGTTCTGCAGCAGAACTCCTTGTGGTGTCATGGGCAAGAACCAGGCAAGAAGCCCACCTGTAATCCAGTGCCTGGTGGGGCAGTGAGACCGGCGTGGCGGAGTGGACGGAGTCAGCCTTCCCGGAAGCACATGACTGCTCAGGGGACTGTTCAGCCTGAAAGAAGTAGGAAGAGAGGAAATGGATTCTGGGCAGGCCAGCAACAGACTCCCATGTCTTCTAAACCCAACTGCTTGGGAAAAGTTTATTTGAAAGGTAGAGAGAGAGAATCAGGCCAGGCCAAAGCCAGGAGCCAGAAACTCAGTATGTTCTGTCTATTACAGCGAACGCTTCTCAAAGTTTAGCAGGTGTAGGTACAGGTCTCTTTTTAAAAAAATAATGCAGGATCTGGTGTGAGTGTCGTGGTACAGGAGGTTAAGCCCTGACAGGTGTCCCATATCAAAGTGTCTGGCTCAAGTCCCACTTCTGCTTCCCATCCAGCTTCCTGCTAATGCGCCTGGGAGGCAGCAGACGATGGCCCAAGTACTTGAGTTCCTGCCACCCATATGGGAGACCCAGTTGGATTTCCTGGCTCCTGGCTTTGGCCTGGTCCAGCCCAGGCTGATGCAGGCATTTGGGGAATGAAGCAGAAGATGGAAGATCTAGATGGAAGATATCTCTCTACATATCACTCCATCTTTTAAAAAACATTTTTAAAAACGCAGGCTCTGACGCCACAGGTCTGGGATGAGCTCAGCCGCTGCATGTCTAACCAGCTCCTGGTCCACAGGCCACCTCTTCAGACATAAGTCACTGGTGGCACCACTTCTCTTTCCGTGTGATTTTATTAATTGTGGTCAAATACAATTTGCCATCTTGACCATTGCTAAGTTCACGTGCAATGGGTTAAGTACATTCACGTGGTGGTGCAGCCAATCTCCAGACTCTTGGTGCCAACAGAAACTCTATCCATCACAGCAGCTCCTCTCAGACTGCTGCTTTCCATCTCTGTGAATCTGACTACCCCAGGCGCATCTCAAAAGAGGCCTCATTCAGTGTGTGTCCCTTTGTGTCTGGCTGGCTTCTTGTAGCATCATGTCCTGCAGGTTCACCCATTGTTCGCTGTATCAGGATTTCCTTCCTTTTCAATGCCAGAATTCTACCACATTTTGTTTGTTTCGTTTGATTGGCAACTGGACTTGCTCCCACCTTGACTGTTGTGAATACAGATGTGCAAATCCAAGACCCAGCTTGCAGTTCTCGGGGTATCAACCCAACAGTGGAGTAGCCAGCTCATCTGCAACTTCTGGTTTGAATTTTTGAAGCAGCCATCACACTGTTTTCCAAGACGCTGCACTAATGCCACTTATTCTTAAATTTGACAACGCACTAGACTCTTGTGGGGAGATGTACAAATGGCTGGTGCTTGGATGCCTCCTCCAGAGAGGGATTTAATTACCACGGAGTATGGTCAGGATATCAGAATTTTCTAAACTCCCTGAGTGACTGCAAAATGTTGCAAAGTTTGAGAGCCATTGTGTCTGTGTCATTTGCTTCTTTCTCACACATTCTGAGCAGGTTTGCTAGGGTGATGGGATTCCAGCCAAGAGGGACTTTCTGGTGGGACCTGCATGGTCTTTGTCACCTTGTGGTGCAGGTCCCCCAGCTGCCAGGCAGTGTCTCGCTCATCCCCCAGCCCCAGGTGCATCCTATCCTCATTACCCATCCATAGGAAGACTTAACAATGACCCTGATGGCTTTGAAGTCAGAAAACTTCAGAGAAGGCAAGCTCCATAATAACCTGCTCTTTTCCCCCAAAATTAAAAAAAAAAAAAAAAGATGGGGGGGATCTTTACTTCAAAGGAAGTTTTACCTGCAATCCATTTATATAAAATAGATCAAAGCAGAGTTCCTCTGTTGACTTGGGAATGAGGTAAAGATGCCAGAAGTCCCCCACCTTACAGGGAACAACCATCTGCACTGCACCCCTGTGCTCCCCAGCCCTTCCTGATCTAACCTAAACACTTCCTTTCCCCCATCAAAACAAGTGAGTCCGAGAAGTTAAGCAACTTGCTCAAGACCGTGCACCTAGCAAAGGATCACCCCTCTCAGGTGAGCCTCAAGGCTGGCTGTGTTCTCATCAGCCTAAGCACTCAGCCTCCTGGATGTCAGAAGTGTGGCAAATGCCTCAACATAACCCCATCCGGTAAGAGGGTCTTGTATTACAGGGTGTTCTCTCAATTACTTGGCTTTGAACCACAAAGTACAGCTCAGGGAAGCCGTGCTGGTGGGGAAGTGACCTCAATCAATTCTGGTTTGAGATGCTCACAGAGATACCTATTTAAGTAAGGAATAAATGAGTCAATATAATTTCATCACGATTCCTAAAGGAACGGCCTCCCAAACTCTGTTGTTTGACAGCCTTTAAAAGTCATTTTAAAGTAAAAAAAAAATGTTTTCTGCTAAGTCTTTATGAGAAGCTGGTTATAAATACGTGCCTTTCAGATAAACAGAGTGAGGACAGGAGGACATAAAAATGGGTGCTTGGGGGCTGGCACTGTGGCTCAGTGGGCTAAAGCTCCGGTCTGCAGTGCCAGCATCCTATATGGGCGCCAGTTCAAGTCCCAGCTGCTCCACTTCTGATCCAGCTCTCTGCTATGGCCTGGGAAAGCAGTAGAAGATTGGGCCCCTGCACCCACATGGGAGGCCCAGAAAAATCTCCTGGTTCCTGGTTTCAGATCTGCCCAGCTCCGGCCATTGTGGCCATCTGGGGAGTGAACCCGTGGATGGAAGACCTCTCTCTCTCTCTCTGCCTCTTCCTCGCTGTAACTGCCTTCAAAAAAAAGAAAAAAAGAAAAAGAAAAAAGAAAAAAAGAATGGGTGTTTGTCCCACATGGGAGATCTGGAAGAAGCTCCTGGCTTTGTCCTGACCCAGCCCTGGCAATTGTGGCCTTTTGGGGAATGAGCCAGCAATGAAAGATATTCTCTCTCTCTCTCTCTCTCTTATTTCAAATAAATAAATTAAATCTCTAAGAACAAAAAAATGGGTGTTTGGGGTTAGGAATAACATTTCTAGTGGGGACATTATGTGCAAATTCAAAAAGTGACATCTCTTAACAAGTGAAGCTGTGGGGCCAGCACTGTGGTATAGCAGGTAAAGCAGCCGCCTGCAGTGCCGGCATCCCATATGGGCACTGGTTCGAGTCCTGGCTGCTCCACTTTTGATCCAGCTCTCTGCTGTGGCCTGGGAAAGCAGTAGAAGATGGTGCAGGTCCTTGGGCCCTGCACCCGTGTGGGAGACCTGGAAAAAAGCTCCTGGCTCCTGGCTTGGGATCGGCGCAGCTCCAGCTGTTGCAGCCAACTGGGGAGTGAACAAGCATTCACTCCTGCCTCTCCTCTCTCTGTGTAACTCTGACTTTCAAATAAACAAAAATAAATCTTTAAAAACACACACACACACACACAAATGAAGCTGTTACTCTCTGACTACTGTGTGGGATAACACAAATGCCATTGTTTTCTTGAAATATGAATGGGAAAAGGGCAATATTTATAAATAGATTACTTTACTATATTATAGGTGATTTTAAATGTATGTGCTTAACTTATAAAACATTTTTTTTTAATCTGTATGTCTTAAAATGCACATGGTCAGGTGCTGGCATCGTGGTGCAGTGGGTAAGCCTCTACCTGAGAAGCCAGTGGCCTCCATGCACTCCGGTTCCAGTCCTGGCTGCTGCACTTCCAATCCAGCTCCCTGCAACTGTACTTGGGAAGGCAGCAAAAGATGGCCCAAACACTTAGGCACCTGCCACTGGAGTGGGAGACTAGGATGGAGTTCCTGGCTTCTGATTTCAGCCTCGCCCAGTCCCAGCTGTTGCAGCCATTTGAGTAGTGAACCAGCGGATGGATGGTCTCTTTCTCTGTATGTCTCTCCCTCTCTTGTAACTCTGACTTTCAAATAAATAAGATCTTTAAAAAAAATAAGCTCATATATTCAAATGGCCAAAATCCATTTGGGAGACAATAGAGAAAATGAGGGTTACTGTTTTTGTTTATTTGCTTTTGTTTTAGAGAGAGAAAGAGCTCCCACTCACTGGTTCACTTCCCAGATACTCACAACAGCTGGGGCCAGAAGCCAGGAGCCAGGAACTCAATCCATGTCTCCTACATGAGTGGCAAGAATCCAACTACTTGAGTCATCATTGCCTCCCTGGGCGCACATAGGCGGGAGGCTGGAATCAGGAACTGGAGCCAGAAAAAAAAAAACCTCAGTTACCCCTAACCAGCATCCTAACCATGAAGCCAAATACTTGTCCCAGGGCTACTTGACCTTCAAGTTTGCTTTATGTTTGGGCATGTGTGATGCTGCTCAGCCTAGGGAACTGAGATGTTAAAACTTAAACTTTGGCCGGGGCCACTGCTCAACAGGCTAATCCTCCGCCTAGCGGCGCCGGCACACCTGGTTCTAGTCCCGGGCGGGGTGCCGGATTCTGTCCCGGTTGCCCCTCTTCCAGGCCAACTCTCTGCTATGGCCCGGGAGTGCAGTGGAGGATGGCCCAAGTCCTTGGGCCCTGCACCCCATGGGATACCAGGATAAGCACCTGGCTCCTGGCTTCGGATCAGCGTGGTACGCCGGCCACGGCGGCCATTGGAGGGTGAACCAACGGCAAAGGAAGACCTTTCTCTCTCTCTCTCACTGTCCACTCTGCCTGTCAAAAACAAACAAACAAACAAACAAAAAAACCTTAAACTTCATGTTTTCCTCCCTGCCCCCCTCCCCCACTTTTTAAAAAAAGATTTATTTATTTGAAAGTCAGAGAGAGAAACGGAGAAGCAAAGACAGAAAGATCATCCACCTGTTGGTTCATTCTCTAGATGACTGCAAAGAGGGAAGGGCCAGGCCAAAGCCAGGAGCCAGGAGCTTCTTCCAGGTCACCACATGAGTGCAGGAACCCAAGCACTTGGGCCATCTTCTACTGCTTTCCCAGGTGCATTAGCAGGGAGCTGGATCAGAAGCAGAGCAGATACCTGAACTGGTATCCATATGGGATGCCAGCACTGCGGGCAGTGGCTGTACCTGCTATGCCGCAGTGTCGGCCCCTTCTCACCCCTTTTTTGAGAGAGGTAACAAGAAACATCAGAAAGGGAAAATTCTGCATCTATAGTAACATTGA